GGGGCTGAGCCGGCTTCCACCGACCTGAGTTGCAAGGTTTTCCACCCAAACGAGCCCTCATCTCTTTTCTTTAATGGAGACAAGACACAGAGCTGTCCTGTCCTGCCATCCCACATCTGCTGCCAGGGCAGGTTCCTCCCCGTCCAGTCCTTACACGGCTGATTCGTGAGCATCTTGGCTAACGACTGGCGGTGGTCGAAAACTGGCAAAATGTCCCCTGTAATTTCAGTTCAATATATGTCAGGCGACGGAAAGACACTGGCAACTCATTTCTAGGGCGTAAATGATTTCTTACAACACTGGCGGGTCTGTACCTTGCAAGGAAAGGAGGAAAAAAGGCAGAAGCGGCCGGAGCCTGGGCTGGGAGAAGCCCACTGATCCCTTGGTCATAAAAGTGTACAATGGAAGGGCTTTATTGTCTCTCGTTAAGCGGTTCATAAGTGACCCCGTTTATTTCTGAATAGCCATGTTTTGATGACTTATAGTATATGCAAAAACAAACTTTCCCGCGGTGTTTTTTTTCCTCCGTCATGCTTTTCTTTTCAAACAGCCAGATGATTTTAAAAAGAAAAACACCCAGAAATGATAAATCGCGTCGCATAGCTAATGGCTGGAGGGCGCGTTTACCAATTCATAATCATTTATTCTTGGTGATGTATGACCCTTACTCTTAAATCTCAAAAGCTTCTATTTGAAGGTGTAAATAGCTTTTTCCCCCCTTGCAGTAAACCTTACTGCATTAGCAGTGATTGATCTCCTGTACAATTCGTCCCAGAGTGCTATTTTAGAGGGGGAACACTGGCTTTTGGAGATTAACTGGGGAGTCTGTTACATATTAATGAACCTAGGAGATATACTAACGTTTTGGTAATTTAGTTATTTGTGTCTATAGCTTTCGCCGTTATTTTCTCTTAGACCCCCGCGGTTGTTATACATCGAATTAAAAAGTGGTCCTTCAGCATCATTTTTTCAGTGGCAACTAAACGCCATTTAATGTGAAAAACAAATGTTGACTTGTCTCTTGAAGGAAGTGTGTTTCTTGGCAAGACATCAAAGTGTTTTAAACTGTATTAGAAGGGTTTGTTAGTTTTCTTACCCGGCGCCTACGGTAATGTGAGGAAACCGCCTCTCGGCGGAGGCAGCCCGGCGGAGGGGAGCGGGTGCTGCGCAGCGCTGCGCGTAGGTGCGCGCCGGAGGGGCGGCTTTAGCTGCGGCAGGGATGCCCAGGCACCTCGTCCCTGGGATTACAGCCTTGATTAACGTGCTAATGAATAGGGATGCTAAAGAGTCGGCCGGAAACCCGTCTGTGAGAAGGAGGAGTGAGAAACTCCTAGGCTGGGCTTAGCCTGCAGAGAGACCAACTTAACTCGAATGCCATTAACCTACTGCTCCTCAGCAGACACGCGGGCGAAGAACCTCGGCGGTGTCTGAGAAGGGGCCGAGGCGGAGGCAGGAGGCGGAATCCCCGCTGGGCTCTGGCCTCTGCCCCTGCAGCTGCCGCGGTCCGGCTCCTCGGTGGAAAAATTGGGGCGGGGGGCTGGGGGGAGGGAAAGGGGCCCGGCGTTTTTTTTGCAGCGGTTCCGCTCCCTATTAACTTTGACATCTTGCGCGGATTTATAAATTAGAGTTCATTATCCTCGAAGGTCGTTAAAGTAGGCAGCTCAGCTAAGAATTAATGCGTGCAAGCCCCCTCGCTACAGCTGGCTTCGTCCTGAGCTGTCTGGTGGGCTCAGAAAGCAGGCGGAGGCTACAGTCACTCCAGTGGGCAAGGAGGGATACCGGTCCCTCCTGCCCTCCTCCACGCCATTTGTCGCCGGTGCCTAAAAGGTGGAAGCCCAGCTGGCCACCAGCCTGGAGAGAGCGGCGAGGGGATCCTCAAGGCAAATGGAGCTGCCCTTATTTTTTAAAGGAACAAACACGTTTCTCCCCCCGCGTCCCGTCCCAAAGTTAAACGTTTGTTTAGGACAAACTCGAGAAGCAACAGCCTTTGCGAGAACCTTGTTTTCCCCTTCTTCTCCTTGTGAATAACAAAGTGATCATAGGCTACTCGGCCAGTTGGCGAGGCGAGAACTTTTGTTTTCTGGGGCGATTTATGTTCTTTATAAATATGTGGTTTGGAAAATAAAAAGAGACTTGAAAACGTTGTTACAATGAAAAAGGACAAATTAGAAGACATTTTCTGTGATCAAAGGAGGAAGAGAAAGCGAGTAGGGGTATTCAAAAAGCTTGACTTATTCACACAACTCCTTTGGAGCCCAGGGGCAACAAGCGTGTCTTACATTGAAAAGGCGGCTCTATTCAGAGTGCAGGTGCGAAGTGGTGTGGCACATTCTGCCACATTATGTAAAGGTTGTTGGAGATTAGTGTTCAGACTTAATAACTAAAGCGCTTGATTTACATTGGAAAAAAGCCCCCTCATCCGTGAAAGCAAAATAATTTAACGCGTGATCATTTCGAGTGCTGCTGATATCCTAATACTTGCATTGTTCTCGGCCAAGTACTAGAGGAGCGCGGATTGATGCTTTTGGGAACCTATCATTTACAGCCACTGAACTCTGCTCAGAACTGGAGGTCTGGAGGGGAGATAAAAGAGGGGCACAAGAGAAAAGTTTCACATTAGGGAAAAAAAAAAAAAAAAAAAAAAAAAAGAAAACAATATAACTGTGCCAGTTCCCCTCCGCCCCGCAGGCGTCCCCGCGCCTCCCGCCCGGTGCCAGGGCGAAGCGGTGCCCAGGTCTGCGGAGCCGAAAATTGGGCTCAGGTCGCAGGCACTTCTCTACTCCGCCTTCCCCCGCCGGAGCAGAATTACTTACCTTACTAATTATTCATATTTATGTAAATGTCATTAGTTAATGTAACTTTCTATAAAAAGATAATCAGGCGAGAAGGGAGCATAGGTATTACCTTAAGTGCATTGGCTCTGGTTGTTTCATTCATATGTTAATACACGTGATGCAGTAGTGCCAGGCGTGGGGAGGGGGGAGAGGAGGGGAGAGGAGGAAGGCAAGGCAAAGAAATTAAATAATAATAACAAAGCCCCACAAAGGCTCTAAGTTTGCATCGCGGGATGGAGAAGCGCGATGCCTTCTGATGCACTGAACAAAGGGGGACCCGGCGCCGTCCCAGCCGCTCCGGCTGCCCGGGCATTCCGGCAACTTCGGGTGGCTTTTTTGTTTGTTTGCGTCCCCTCCTCTCCTGGAGGAGAATTTTATGCTTCGAACCGTTTCGATCTGCCCAAACCCTCGTGCCGGGCTGAGACCCTCCAGCCCCGAACCACCCGAATGAAAGTATCTTTGTACGGGACACGCACCAATTAAAATTGCAATACCTTTTTGCATCCCTCTTTAGTGTAAGCATTTTAGGGCCATTTCCATAAATTCTCCGCGAGAATAAAGGCTATAATGGGAACAAGGTGAGAAAGCTGTTAACCATTGTTTCAGCAAGAAAAGGTCGTAAGTCAGGCAATTGGTGTCTGACCTGTCAGGATAAGGTATAAAGGCTTTATTCATGCAGTCGCTCACGATTTTCTCAGCTCTCACAAAAGTGTTTTTATGATTCTGTTTTCTTACCTCGTTCCTTAATTAAAAAGCTGAATGATTAGAATAGCACCTGCATAATGTCTGGACGACGCCTGCATACTAATTCGCGAGTCTTTACATCTAGTAATTATAACATAAAATCAGAGATTGAATAAAACAGAAGGATTTTGCCCCTAAAGCCCTGCTAATCCCCTTTTAAAAGAGTCTGCTGAAATAATTCAGAACAGTTTCCGGAAGTTGGATTACCGACTCTTTTTTGACTATTTACAATGAAATGATATTTCACACTTAAAGGAGTCTCTGTATTTCTACAACAGGTTTTTAAAAGTGGCCTGTTTTCTAGACAATAACAATCCAGTGACTCCTTCTTTCTTTTCCTACCCATTTTTCCCCCCCTTCCTCCCACCAAGATCTTCATCTTTATCAAGTGTATGCGAGGATTAATCTGTCCTCAGGTAGGGAGAACAAAACCTCCCCCCCTTGAAACCTCCCGTTGACTCCCCGCTCCGGGACTCCCAGCCTGGCCACCCCCGGCCCCGGGGGGCGAGGGAAGAGGGCTGCGTGGGGGCAGCCCACTTGTGCTCAAGTTCAGATGCACCCTGTTTCCCAGCCGCTCGCAGGAGCAAGCGGTGGAGCAAGGAGCTCCCATTGCTTCACTATTGCCCCCCCAGGGCAGAGGATAATTTAAGCCAGCAGTGACTAGTCAAAAGTTGGAGAATAAATTTTTTTGTGTGTGTCT